AAATTTTAACAATGGAAGAAAGAAATGTCTGTACAAACCCAATGCGCTGCTTAAAATACGCATGCCGAATAAAGCGAGGTGGTTTCAAGGCGCTGGACGCCGATCCCCAATGCGCGATATTTTTGCGGATTGGGAAATTAAGGGAAACTAACGGGGGTAAGAAAATTAAATAATAAACGGCATTGAAGGAGGGGGGCGAATAACTGTGAACGATGCAGAAGTGGCAACTAAGGGAGGCCGGTAAGAGAATGGCTGGCTACGGGTTTGAAATAAATGGGTGCAAATGAATGGGAAGAAGAAGAAAAAACGAGATATTTAATCAAAATTAATGCTCAAATATAAAGCAAAATTAGCTGAATAGGGGCAAAACATGAGCACACAGGATTGACGAAGACGTGTTCAAATTCTCCAGACGCAGGTGCAGCTCTCAGCAGGCACATAGAGGCATGATGAATAAACACCACAAGGCGAAATTATAAATTTATTTGTTTTTTACATTTATTTTTCGTAGAAATAGTTTCTCGACAAACAAACAAGAAGGAAGGAAAGAGCAAAGCCCTTCTTCATAAACTGCACGAGATGGCCGCGCACTAGCACAGTGTGGCAAGTTGGAGAAACATTTGAGGTAAATCCATTGACATCAGGTATTAAATGCTATTTAAAAAAGCCTAAATGCTCACTATCTATTAGCATCATCATCTATGAAACAACCTCGATAGTTTACTACTTCGTAACACTATTAATTGCTGTCAAAGGCGGCTTCATATCTAATTATTATTCATCATCATCCAGCCCAGGGACAAAGTAGGTAATAACTTCAGTTTGCCATACTCTGCTTCTTGGCGCTCTCTCTCCTAATTGCGTGGCTATCAGATGTAAATTCATCGGAATAGGAAATCAAATGTTTTCAAAAGTTCCCTAGGGTACTCTTCACCATATATACAGTATTCATCTACACTCAGTATAATATTGTGCGTTATCTTCCGATCACGTATACTTGTCAACGCATTGTTTTCTAATTCTCCAATCCCCAACAGTGGCGTTTAAACAATAATGGCACGCCGCCTTCGGGGAATGGGAAACAAGAAGAGTGCGCTGAAAAGTACAAGTCGTTGGATGATAATGCACAGTATTCAGCTAACTTGTTATACGGCCCTCCGAACGGCTGCACTCTGCAATGAGTCTTGAGATGGCTTCACAATAAACAATGCCGTGCAAAGGCACAAAATTGAACAGCAGAAGCCCTCCCCACCTACCACTTCCTATCGTTCCACAAACAATAGCGCTCAGCACCTTGTTTGCCTAACCTGATTAAGCAACTTGTATTGGAGGATAGTACCAGATCACCGCGACGTAAATTCAGTCCGATAGTAGTGCCTTACACCTTGGCATCATTCCGGAGCGGCTACCACGGCAAAGGGGAACCGGATGTGACGATGCGCTACAGAGAACTTGCTTTTTATCCTTTATGGTCTGGGTGATTAGCAGGAGAGCCCTAGCTGCTAGGCGGTGAGGTTTGGGGACCTGATTTCGGGTGTTGTGGTCAGCGCGGCGGCAAGATAGAAGAGCGCCGCAGCTATCATAGGAACGGAAGCACCTCACAAATATAGCATAAGTGATCTCACTTTACAGGGTGGACTCTACGGGCCGCCTGGCACAAATGACTGCAGTCTATGCTAGATTGCTTAAGGCGTCATCCGTTGGCGAGCTTGGCATGGCAGGCAACGGCCGCATCTAAATCCACTGAATCAGAAAGACGCAATTCAAAGAGATAGCCGGGACCATCTCAGATAAGCGCAATTGCAGAGTATAATGGCTGACGGGGGGAGGGGAGGGGCGCCGGAAGACTGTGCCAGAGATCACGTTGGGAATACCCTGGATATACTTGACTGTGAAGCCATACTGTGTGGGCCGTTTCCTGGGGTGGTTTGCCATGAGATGCAGCGTACCTTGCGGCAACTCCTTCTGCAAGGCCACCCCATACGCAAGCTTACTCAAGCCCACTTTGCATACGTGTACCAGCACAGTAGGCAATTGTTCGACGACTAAAACAGTTAACTGGCCCTCACCAAGCATCCCGCTCGCAAGTACAAGCACATGCACCAACTTGAAACAGACTATGCTGCCAGTACCACATGCTCCCATTCAGGAACCGGCTCCGAATGCCGGTATACACGCTGACAGTTTACTCGCCTTCCTGAAGAAGCTTGTAGACGGTTCCACTCAACAAAATTGAACGACTAGCACTTTTTAGACAAAGAAGATGAAAGAGCGATTCTGTGTGCAGCGCCATCTGGATTTGCACACACAGAGTAAGACTATGTGCTCGCAGTTGGTGCTGGAGCAATGGCTTTGCCTCCGTAGGCAGCCTGCTCGCAGGCAGAAGTACAATCAGTGTCTACAGTTTTGGTGCATCCAGCAACAGGGAGTTTGTTTGTGCATGCGCTTGAAGGTGCCCACAGCGTTACTTCCAACTGGGTGTGTCAAACTCATACACAGTCACTCACCGCCTCTCTACCAGACTCAGGCCCTGGGGTAGCTGAGCACAGAAAGTTTGGGGGCTCGACAGGAGGCTATCTTCTATTTTAAAACTCTTGTCTCAAGCATTTTGGGCTGAATAGAGCTCACGCGTGCCGTTGGGTAATTTCGCTGATTCTCGTTACAAAATCCTGCTCGACGACAGCTACGCGTAGTACAAAGGCACTACAATGGACCTCAGATTGGACCTGTGGAGGTCTACCCTGCCCGAGAGTACAGCTATTAAAATAATTGAGATAAATCAAGTCAGTTTGGATGGAAATTCACACTATCAGGCTAAAGGTGCTCGTCAGCAACCAAGGATTTGGGGCTGACGGTGAAGCTGGCAATGCCGCCCAGGCCCTGAGGCACGAAGAGTCAGATTCGTTATTCTTGAGTTTTTCCTTCTGAAGAATATGGAACCCGAATATGTTGAAAAGACTGCTACTTGACAACTTAGGTTAGTTTAGGGAATATTCGTTGAGTTTGGTATATAGTTGTGGAGTGTGCACCTAGTAAGTGGGCATAGGACTATTACGTAGTAGCAGCAGAGTACGCTATTCACTGCACAACGCGTTGTGTGGCTGCCAGTGTTGTGCTCTGTTCACTAGGTATTGCTGCTGCCCTTACACATAAAATAATTCATTAGATGGTTTCTTAAGGATTGTTATTTACTGTGTGCGCGAAACTGTGCAGTACTGGAGTGAGTGTGGCAACTCGGCTGCATGCAAAAGCTGCGAGAGCTGTTGAGTTGCATGCAGCTGGCAAGCGAAGGAGTCTGAGTTCTTTTGCCTGAGAAGCAGTTGCCCGAACCTCCTTGAAATTGTGTCTTATGGGGGGGGTTTACGGTTATTTACATTTACAGCCAACACCTTTAGAGAAGACTGGATCGCCTCACCACATTTCTGCCCTGGTGTCTGTTTGCCTTCGCCGCGGCTGAGTTGCAACTCGGTGAACAAGGGTTTTCATGATTAGACGCGTTATCTTCTTTTATTTTTTCGATGCATTTCACTTCTTCGCTCTTTTAAGGGTTCCTTCTCAGCGCCTGCGCAGAACGGGCACCCTTGGGAATGCAGAGCCACTCGGACTCTTGAGGGCATTTCAAGAAGGCCGTTGCCTACAGCGCGGCCGTAGGGTATTCAGTAGCTGTTAATCTCTTTGTGTTATTTTCTATTCTTTGAATTCTAACTTGTAATCCATGACTCCCCCCGCAGCACGTTCAACAGAAGCTGTACATTCGCACGCGTCCTACTGCTGAACTGTCATCAGCAGGAGCACCTGCCGCAAAAGCGGTTCACATAATTTCAGAAAGCCAAAGTGGCCTGCATGAAATGAAAGTATTAACTCCAATTAGCATCATACTGACGCTTACCAGCAACGACAAGATCGCCCAATCGCTGCCTTCCCTATCTTAGAGAGGGCAGAAGTGTTTGCCCAAATTTCGCGTTTCTGTCATATTGTGCACCTGAGTGACGCCTGCGCTGCCTTCTATCGCAGCAGCTCACTGCTGCTGCTGAGAATTATATATGTACATGTAGACGTACATGTGCATGCATAGAAGGTGTTGGTTGCTGTGCATGGTGTGTTGTGGTGGCCTAGAATGTGGTTTGATTACGCATCGCCCCCTTGCCCCTTTTTAATAGGGGAGGGTGTTTTATTCTCTCTTTTGGGGGGTTTAACATCGCGGCAATTGCTGAAGATGTATTACTCTCTTAAACAATCGCCTGCGTTTCCGGCAGGCGAAGCGCCAGGCGACAACAGCCCGGCCCCTCTCTCACGCATTAGTCTTAGTGGGGGCCAGACGCGCTTTTCCTTTATTTCTCTTCTGTTCGCATCATCTCTCCGTAAGTTGTATTCTGTTCTGGTGATGCGGGAGTGTTAAGCTCATTTCCCCACACATCTTCTTTTTGGGAAGGGCGGGGGGATGCTGCTATCTTATGTTGATACTGATATTGAAAGAGGATATGGATGCCTCTAGATAAATATTGCTTCTTCGCCTTCGTGTTTCCCTACCGCTGCGTCCCACAGAAAATTATTTTGTTGGCTTTGTTCTGCTTTACTCTTTTATTTGAAGTCGCAAGTCAGTCATTGTGCCCAGTGTCAGTCTTCATCATTATTACCTTTTTCACTGCTATTACGGATGCCGTTATGATTGTTATTGTAATATGTTTCCCTACACTTCACTTTATATTATTCTATGTGGTTAGTATTAACTCTGCTATTCTGTATTGCTGTTACTGATTATTCTGGGTCGTTCAATCTTCTTTTGTGTAGCCATTGGCTTTGTCTTTTGTTTTCCTCCTTTATGTGGGTTCCCTTCGTTGCTTGGTGGGCCTTCTCTGCGTTTATTGGCTTACGTGTCCCTTCACCGTATCTTGCTTTCTTGTTGTCTTGCTTGCCCTCTTGTGACTCTTTTGTGTTTTAACTGTTTCGGTTCAGTTCGGGCGTTGGCGTTGTTTGGTACCGCATTCTTGTGCCGTCGAATGACGAAGCGGCAGGAGGAATTGTCAGCAGCTCCACCTTCTTCCGTTTCAGTTCCGAGCAGCAGCAGCGGCAGCGGCAGCAGCAACGGCAGCAGCGGGAGCATCGACAGCGGGGAGGCCCCCATTTCGTTCAACTTTTCTCTCGATGAGGAGTGGATCGTTTATTTATTAGATTCATTTCCTTCACTCGTCTTCTGCTCCGCCGTCTCCCTCGTTGTTCTCTTCTGGGCAAGGATATACTACGCCGCGAATCTCGTAGCCTACCCCTTGTTTTCGTGCGTCTTACTTTGCATTCAGCAGAAATAAAAATAATTAATAGTTAGAGAGGAACAGCCAGTTCATCACCCAGATCAAATTATTGATCTTTTCAACAGCAACAATGGGCGGGTTGAAAACCGACAAATCATCACTATTTCATTGCCGGCTGCATTCTTGTGCATCCACTACTTTTGCAGGTCCCTGTATGCTTTTGTGCGTTTCATGACTGCATAAAGATGTACTGTTGTGCGTATTGTATATAATATTTGTGTACACGGGGGAGGGAAATATGTCGATATATAGTCTGTAAAGCATATATTATCTGCATACTAGTTTGCTTCCGTGGCCTCGTGGGGTGCTGGGGCAGAGCGGTTTTTTGAACACGCTGGCTGGGAGATGCTGATGCCGCTGCTGTTTGAATTTTGAATGCGCATGCTACTTTTTTGCGTTTAGTGTGCTTGTCATCACTTGTGTTTCATTTCCGTACTTGTTTTTTCTGCATGGTTTTTGCTTTAGGCGGATGCACTCCGTTTTATCTGTGGTGTTGTTCGCGTCTTACGCTTTCTGCATTTCTGTTGCCGTACTGCTGCAAGCCAAGAGGGCTGCCTGTGCGTTTCTTCAAGGCCTAGAGGCATTATTATTTGGTGCAGAAGCTGTCGCCTTTCTCTTGTATGGAATCAAGGCAAGCAAGCAACCAGCGACGCATCATATAATTCGGATATACGACTGAGGGTCCACCGTAGATGAACCTACAGTCAGGCAACATCAATGTACTTACTTTGAGGCTTTGTTCTTGTTTGCCAGCAGAACGCAAGCTGTGTTGAGTTGGTTGTGATTGCTGTGCATTTTGTGATGGTACGCAGGTCGCCAAGAAAGTGTCCGAAGGGGGAAAATCTGCCTCAAGGAAGAGCAGTATTGTCAGGAGGGTACAAAGCGCTTGCACTGCATGCATCGGAAACTGAACGAATAGAGTGCCTATCAGTTTGGTTAAAATATGATCAAACGGTGGCAGACTTTTTGTTGCAGTTTAAGTTGCAGATAAGTACCAAGCTCTTGCCCTGCATGCCTCATTGACATGAACAAATTAATTACTCAGCAAAATACAGTCAAGCTGTGACGGTTTCGTTGGTCTAGTTGGAGTTGCAGAGAAGTCTATGAGTTTGTGGCTGCTTCATCATTTATGGTGGCAAAATGCATAGGCGGCAGGAAGCCAACACATAACGCCATGCGTATTCATGCGTGCAGAAGGTTCGCGCGTATGTTTCTGCTTTGTTCTCTTGGTTACGGGCGCCAGTATGCGCGTGTATCATGCTTGCACATGCGTGCGTATATTTATTGCTCGCTTGTGTGTTTGGTTGTCTTCTCTGCAGGTGATATTTTTGTCGATGGTCTGCCCGGTCCTCTTCGGATTTCGTAGTTTTATGGCATTTAAAGGCGCGACGCCCCCGCTACATCCTCTGCACGCATTACCGGGCGCTGTAACTCCACCTCAGGTCCGAGCAGGACAGGTGCGTGGGCTGCGTTAGCACTTCAATTGCGAGTTGGTGTATTACGTAGGGCTGCTGCTGCTGCCTGAAACTAGCTGGTGCAACTGGTTACAGGTGCTGTAGTAGGCTGCTGGTAGTTGCTGCTGGGTTGCTGCCGCTGCTGCTGCTGTGTTGCCACAGCACAGGGGGAAGGTGAGGGAGCCCGCACTGGTGGCTCAGGTCTTTGGCTTTTTCCTTTTTGCCCCTTCAGATTTACTTCGTGACGGAATGGGTCCCTACGCTGTTGATTCTGTTGACATTTTGGCACCGCAAAGGAGCGACGGCCAGAGGGCAGCAGCAACAGCGACCCTCAGCGTCTCCAGCGGATGCAGAAGAACTTGTGGCGGTGAGAGAGCCGGTTGCCTTGCATGTTTATGAATTAGAGAGAAAATGCATGCACCGCGCATGCATGCTTGCTTTATTCCGTTTTGCCTGCGCAGTGTCCACTTGGATTGTTCCAATGTCATTTGACTACGACCTCTGCATGCACCCAGTCTTTGTAGAATTTCCATCAGCTCGCAGAGGAGCGAGAAGGCAATGAGGAGTGGTCTGCCTACGTGCCTGTACACAGGGTAGCTTTGACTCGACAATCATGGCGCCTCTGATGCAGCAGAACGTCTACCCCTTTACTGCGGCTCCCCCTCACCCACAGGCACAAGGAGACATGAGCCACGGGCCGGTAGGGCGATAGAACCAGAGCTGCCATCTGTTGCAGCGTTCGTAGAAATGGCCTTGTTCTTGTTTCGTTCGTTCTTGTAAAAGGGTGTTCGTTACTTTTGTACTCGTAAGGACGCGCACAACCAACCAAGCTGTTTTCGTTATTTGCTGCCTCACTGTCAATTCAGGCCATGCCCAGCGAGGTGTATCCGCAGTTTATGCACCCCCAGGTCCCGTACAGGGATTCATTCTCGAGCTATGCCCCGACGGCGTCCTCTGGTGGCTTCAGCCACGCGCAGTACGCACAGCAAGGACAGCGGCAGTGATATATTAGGGCCCCAATATGCACGAACAAAGACATGCTGCTGCTGGGTTTCAAAACGTTTTTCAACCCACCTGCCCTGCTCCAGGCCTCGCCCTAGCTTACTTTGCCCGAAATTGTTTGCGTGGCTTGGTTGTTCATATGCAGCTGTGTCGCTGCAGCACTTGCTTCACTTGCTCGTACAGCACAATGGACCAGGGGACGGTTGCTGCCAAAGTTGTTTAAGTGGCTTTTGCCTTTGAACAACCCGGCGTATGCAATGCGTTGCTGCCTCATGTTTAGAACACTCCGCCGCAGGAGAGGGAAGCTCTTCGAGCGGTAGTTGTCTACTTCATAGTGTCGCTTAGCATCGTGAAGGACAAAAAATGCTTCGTGCAAAACGGCTAAAAGGCCACCAAGCAAGTATTTCTCTGTCGTAGGGGAACCTGCACAGCCAATGCGTCTTCTTGCGTTATACTGCGCAGCATCAGGGCGCACACGTGCATGAACCTGAAGCTTTTCTGCTGTTTAAATTCAATTAATTAACAATAAGCTCGACACAAAGAAATCGCTTCCGAACCACGACAAAAAGAAACGCAAATAACAAGGCTCCAGCTATGCTGTTAGGGAGGGAACACGAAAAATCAAGGACGGAAAGCAGCAGCGGCACATCGCACGTTTGCTTGCTGCTTTTTTGTCCGTCAGTCGAAGCCTCAATAGAGGCGTGACAAGTTGTGCGGCGTTTAAAAAATGGAACTGGAGGAGAGGGAGGGGCGAGAGGGGCTGGCTGCTGCGATGCACATGCTCCTGTGCAGAAGAGTAGATGCAGTTGCTTTGCAAACCGTAAAACAAATTGTAAATGACAAAACGTGAACAGAAAAGATGCATCCTGAGCTCGAGCTATGCCCATCAGCTGCAGCTGATTAGGCGGAACTGGCCTCTTGCATGCACCTTCGGAATTCTTGGCGTTGCTCTTCAGACGCGAAGAACAGCGTAAGTGAAGCAAACGCCTCAGACGCTTGTGCCGAACCGTTTTTGCCTGCACGTGGCTGCACTGCTTGCCCAGTGTCAGGGACAGTAGGGGGGGTATTCAGGTGCATGTGCTTTGCAAACGCGTGCATCTGCACAGATCGGGCGCTGTTAGCAGCAGAAGCAAGGGGATGGTACGTTTGCCACGGCCCTACTTTTCCAGATGTTTTGCTGCCGTTTAGTTTGTCTTTTGGTGAGGCATTTTTGTCCAAGTGCTCTTCAACAGGCGCAGCAGAAACGCTGCTCTTTTGGGCAGCCCCTCTGCTCCTTCTCCATCCTAGCCTGCGTAGGTGGCTTAGCATACAGCAGGAAGAGGCGAATCCAAGTGCACTAGGGTCGCAATGCCAACGCTTCCCACAGGTGAAGGCGGTTGTGGGGATGTGGAGCACCAGAGGAAATTCGCAGGATGCTGGCGAGACCCGCCTCTCTGCCTCGCTGAGGTAACGCCGTATTTTGCTGTTCACAAATGACCCCGTTGTGTCCTCCTGCAGCATGCCTAGAAGATTACACATGACATCTTGTGGCCTCTCGCATTGTACCAAAACAGAAGTTGATGCATTGTCATGCTTCCTTGCCGTCGCAGCAACCTCCCCACAAACTGACAAAGCGCAAGAGGGGATGGGAATACGCAGTTCTTCGGGCGCTGTACGACGGCCGCACCAAACTAGGTTGAGGTATACCGAAGGCGCAGCTGTGGACCTGCCGATCATCTGCCTTCTGGGGGCGCTTGTCAGCGTTATAAGAACTCGCTGGCCTTTCTGTAAGTCTTGAAACCAGTCAAACGAAACGCCACCACCCGGATGCAGGACGGCCTTTGCCGTTGTATATTTGCTTAGGAATGGATTTGAAACTCCACGAAAACAAATGGCAGGCATTCCTTCTTGTTTGAACGGACGACGGTTTAAGGGGGAACCAAAAAGGCAAGAATGACGCACATCTATCGAACGTAAGCAAAGGTCCTGCACGGACTGCAAAGAAAATACGACGACCAACAACTTGGAGAATGAGTGCATGCATGCACGAGTACGTATCAGTGGGACAAGATGAATTTTGTAGCGTTTCCGCTGTTCCTTGGCTGCTGCTTCCAACTTCCTGTATCTTAACTGGATCGTTGTATCTTTGCCCATACATCTAAAGAGAACTACTTTAATGGAAAGAAACGATTGCTTACAAAACGCAGACAACAGCAGCAAGCAGGTGCTGTAGATTTACCTTTGGAGTGACGGCTCTTCGGTCGAGCAGAAAGTCCGCGAACTTAAGGCTCCACAGATATTGAAAATTCGAGTGCTTGTCAACAGCCCGCCGTACGGCAGCTGGAGTCGGCGGAGTTGCCAAAGAATATGAAAGTACAAGCAGCAAAACGGAATACAATAAGGCCACAACGACCGCCACAGCATCTGAGAACAGAATACGCGTATAAAAGATAGTGAGCACAGTATATCCCTTGTAAGCTCCACACAGTTAGGGAAACGTCGGCACTTGTGTTTGCAGAGAGCACAGAAGAAGAACAACTAAAGTACAGAAGAGTCACAACGCACAGCCTATCCGTACTACTTGACTGCACGTGCTCCAGTACACAGCAGATACACAGCCCACAGAAGCGGACGCGAGGACCAATGCGCAAAATAAACAGGCCGCAAACACAGGTAAACGAATCTAGAAGAGATTACTCAAGAGAACATGTAAACTAACAGGCACTAAACACAACAACGACACAATGCTCACCTCCGGCCTGAAACTGGAAACGGCTTGAAGCGTCCACCGCCTGTCCGCTGCGCGCGAGGCCGGCAATGAAAGCAGCAGCCAAGAGCCCGGCAAAAGCATTCGCCGCAATATGACGCTGCTCCATAGTGCGGATGACATCTAGGCGAGGAGAGCCTTGCGTTAACAAATCTGAAAGGCCGAAATGCAAACCCTCAACCAATGGAAACTAATCTTCACACATATAGTCTTGAAGTCGTATCGAGCCATTAGGCACAACTACATCCTTGTCTAACTTATGTCCTAGTCAAGCGCAGTTGGATTTGAGACAGGCTTTCGATGCCTAAATGCGGCTACCCTATATGCCTGCGCCATTTGGGGGGGTTTTGCATGCAGGTATTGTTCTGCATACCAATGAAGGAAGCGCACAAGAGCTGCAGTAGCTTGCCGCACTCTCCCATGCCTTCCATTGATGGAAGGCCCTCGTTTTCTGGTGCACGCAATCTTTTCATCTGATGAAGACACAGAAATAATAGATGAAATGGCCCTAGGTATCTGGGCATGGAAGTACTGTCTCTCACGAGTGTAGAGAAAGAGCAAAACATCTCCTTTGAAAGTGGCCACTGACGCAGCGTTGCATGTCTCAGTCTAGAGCGCTCCTTCCTGATTCTCTTTTCGCATCTTGCAAGGGACTTACCGATGCAAAGATGCGCTCGCGGAGGTCCAGATCGAGGGAGCACTTCAGCGCTTTCCACTTGAAGAGAGAAGCCGTCATCTGTACAGCTCCCATGCAGAGTGAGATGACAAACGAGAGTGCTACAGCGAGCCCAACGAATAAACGCGGGCCTCTGCCTCGGTCAAAAAGATATATCACCAGAAGCAGCGCCCACACCGCCAAAAACATACAGCTCAGGAGAAGCAAATGCACTCGGGGGCCGTATGCGCATCTGCAGAGCCACGACAAACCCAACGTATATACGACGCATTCACACCATGCTGTTAAGTTCAAGGACTTTCCTAATTCTCTAAGCTTCTCCCCCAATCATTCCCTCACCACATGCAATATCGCCAGTGTTCGAAAACAGGGAAAAGTAGTCGAGCTTAGTGATGTCCGTATTTACCCGCTGATGGCTCGATTAATTGCCTCGACGACTTCAGTGGAACGGGCGACTGCTGGGTCTGGAGCGCGAGAGGGCGGGAGAGAAACGCTGTGGCGAAAGGGTCCTGGCCCGTTGCCTTCACAGAGCGAGCTGCTATCTCGGCGGCTGGTGCCCTGGCCGTCTCCTCCTTCGTGCTCAGCGTCATGAGCAGGGACGGTGCTGCCTTCGTGCCAAGCATCTGCCTCCGCAGCATTGGTATCGTTGGGTGGTTTCAAAGCATCTGCTTGAAAATGCTCTTTCACTCGTGCCCATGGCTCTGCAGCAGCGTCTGCTCCTGCGGTAGCAGGTGCTAAGGCTCCTGCTGCTGTTGCAGGCAGTTCTGCTCGGTTCGTTGTCAGCAACCCTGTACACAGCAGCCCTTCAATTTGACGATGCCCGGACAAGCAATTCTCCAGCCCCCCAGCCTGAGTTGCGCTGCTGCTGACGCACTTGCTTTCACGAGATCCTCCCCACTCTTCATCTGCCCGTCCCCCTGCATACGATGAAGCAGAAGAGGTTCTTATGCCTTCCTCTTTAAGTGGTCGCCGACGCTTGCGAGAAGCCTGCGCAGATAGGTGCAGTAGATAGGGGGGATTCGGGGGGAGGGGTGGGGATGCTGCTGTTGCATATGTTCTAGCACCTGCAGAGTCGTATGCCGTGTGGGACGTTAAAAGCAAAATAATGTTTGTGGCATATCCTCAACCGCAGAGCGTGTGAGGAGGCTTTATTTTAAACTGGTCACGATGCTACCAGAAAAACAACTACTAAGAAGAGGAAATCGTTACAAATCCGTAAGCAATCAAACGCAGCGCAGTACTGCTCCGGTGCGTAACATTTCACGATCCCGCTAGAACAAATGTGGCTGAAAACAGGCTAATGTGCATGCATGCATACTATTAACCTCAGCTAGCCAACAGCTATCCAAAGAACTTTCCACGTCGCTGGTCACCATGCAAGCAGGTGATCCTTACCGATCTCCTGCTACGGGGAGTGAATGTAGGAGAGCTTCGTGATGCTGCCGCCTTTGTTGGTGCCTCTTCGTTTGCGATGGACTGAACGGATCTGAGTCGAGTATCTAGGGCGGCAGCAGCAAGTTGCAGTTCACTAGTAAGACAGTGGCCTGTTGGAGCTCCTTTTGAAGCAGATCTTGACGGCTCATTGCTGCCCATGGAAAACAAGCGAGTGCTGCTGTAGCTGCTCATTCGTGTGGGGTCCAGAACGGGTCCGCCTGCTTGTTCTCTGGATGCTGCGCTTGGAGGCTCTTCGGGAAACTGGCCTGATGAGGCTTCCCGATCGTCGAGGTACCTTGATGGCTGAGTGTGCGTGTCTTCTCGCATCTCCTGTTCTTCTTCAAACTCCACTGTTTGGTTCTGGTCCTCAAAAGCTCGTTGCGTCGTATCTTCTTGCATTGGTAAATCCGCAGACATGGCCCCTTCACAGTTGAAAGGTGACTGTTCGGCGCTGTTGGAAAGACCGTCTGCTGTGGAGTAGCGCACTTCCCACTCCCCTGGCTCCCCCGAACGCAGCACCGGCTCCTTTTTAGGGTCTCCGTCCAGTTGCACGGCTGCTGGTTGCGTTGTTGGTGCTCTTGCTGCTGAGGAGGAGCCCTCTGTTGCAGTTGCCGCGTTACTGAAAGAAGCATCAGAGTCCTCTGCCAAAGCTGCGTCTTGGCCGCCCCTGCTGTCCGCTCCGCCGTCTTCAGAGTGCAGTGATGCGTGACTCAGGAAATCTACCATTCTTCGCATTGTGCAAACATCACCGTTTGCCTTGTACAGCTCGTGTAGGTCCTCCCAGCTGTCTGAATGGCTACTTGCTTTGCTGCGGCAATCGTTGGCAGCTTGAGCAAGACACGCAGAACGCCCCCATACAGCATCAAATGCTCCCGGAACATCTTCGCTGCCGCACTCTTCCTGAGGCATCTCACGCGAATCGCTTGCTTGCGCTGCCGCTGCTTGCAAATCTAAGTCTGTGAGACTAGCCTGCTCGGTAGCGCGAGGACTGCTTAGCCCGCCATCAGGTAGTTCGGGTCTTGCGCTTTCTCCTTCCAGTTCTTCATCGCTGGCAAAGAACTGCCAGCGTGATGCTTCTGAAGCTTGTGACTGTTGTGTTTGCTCTGCATATATGCGAATGTTCTCGTCTAACGTTTGCCCTTCCGATTCCCAGTCATGTTCCCGCACAATGGTTTCTAAAAGCGTTGAGCGCTGGCGGCGCTTCGACTTCCCTGGAGGGGGGCCGATGATCTCTACTCCGTCAACCACATCACTCTGGGAAGTACATGGACCGACAACCTCTGTCAGACGGAAAGGACTCGTTTCTTTGAGCTGCTCCTGAAGACGCGCTTTTTGCGCATGAGACTCTGCAGCTTCCAGCGAGAAAAGTGTCGCGATGTGTCGCCGATCTTCCCTGAAGCAATACAGAAAGAAAATGGCAATGCGCTGCCAACTGGGTACTGCCACGCATCAAAGTTCGGGCCACGAGGAAAGGGAAAAACAGTCGCCGAGTGTCTCACCTGACGGAAACCTGTCCTTCATCTTCTGTAGGCTGCATCAGTGCGGGGACGGGGCGCCGCTCGCCTCCGGAGTTCCCACAAAGGCGCAAAGGGGGAATATAAAGATAATGCTCAGGTATGACGCCATCTTGTTGAGAGTAAGATTCATATCTGGTATCTAGAGACGATCGAGCTGAGGAGTGTGGAGTAAACGCTGTTGAATTGTGTCCTTCGTCTGCAAGATACGCATGAACAGAGAGGGAAACTCGCAGCACGAACTAGTTATCTAGAGATTTTGTTTAAAGCAGTTGTTGTTTTGTTAATGGCATTACTCTACAGAAGCACATGTCTCTCACAAAGGCACTCATATTAATTATTAAAGAAATTCTGGAGCTAGATTTCCCTCATTTGGGTAGCCAGAGCCCAAGGCGCCTGCAGATGCAGAGCGCGAACACACCTTGCAAACAGTCGGCATGATCGACAGAAACAGAAATGCACTCCTCTTCAGTTTGATTTGCAAAAGGAGGAGCTGTTTTCTGTTGTTGTTTCGTCTCAGCGCTGAATACATCTACTTCGTCGTTTCCTGTGGTGAAGTCGTCGTCTACCAACCCCAACAATATCTTTTCAAATGTGGGAGGTGGGAGGCGGCGAGGCGAAGTAACCCTCTTAGGAGGAGGCCGGGACAGGCCTTTGTGAAGACGCTCCTCAGGAGTGCGTCTGATTGGAGAGAGAACAGTCCCTTCTTTCCTCCTCCTATCTTGGGTTTCTTGTCGGGAGTTGCTGTGACTTTTGCGGCGGCGGCCATGGCCACGACTGCTGCTAGGTCGTCCCCCGAGCTCCTTTGATTCATCACGGCCCTTCTTTCTCTCTGACCTGCCGCGGGAGCGGGAAAGGACGGTGTGTGGGTGATGGGTTTCCGCTGTTCCCTCCTTGCGAATTTCCAGCGCGTGGGCGGAGGGGGCCTGCGATGGCGAAGGGGACGAAGCATCCAACCAGGCCCGAGCAGCTATGGTGGGGCTGCTGACTCGGCGTCTCCCCGCAAGCCGAGACATGACCGTAGGACTGCGAGAACCGTCAGAAGGAGGCGTCTTGGGAGACCGCTGAGAGAGCAGCTTCATGAAAGCGGGTGATGTCGGCCTCTCAGCACCTGAAGGCGTGGCCCGATGACTGCGGGAGGAAGAGTTAATAGATGGAGCAGATTCTCTTCTCCCATCAGGGACTCCCGAAGTATATCCTCTATTGCTTCCCCATGTATTTCCCGATGGGTTAAGGGAGGGAGAGGGCCCAGCTAGAGACTCGGCCGCCAAAGGACGACGCAGCCCGTCCGCCGCCTCTAAGCGGCGGCCGGAGTAAATTGAGTGATTTTCCATTGTGGGCGGAGCTATTCAATGCAAGTAAGCGTCTACGCCCTTTGGCATTTCAGAGGACATGCAATTTTCATAGGCTCGCGCCTCGGCTACTGTTTCTTACTATGCCTGCACTCAAAGGCATCGAAAACAATAATAACAGCAGAAAACTTAATAGGGGACTCTTCCCCTGAGCTGGCATGAGATTTTTGTGGAAGTTGTGTCAAGTGCTGGTGGTCTGCAGCGCCGCCGACATGTCTCACATATACGGGGGAATGAGGGGGGCCTCTTGCCGGCAATTCGAGGGAAGTGAGGAAAACATCTACAACTCAGATACTTCCCAAATAAGTTTCTACTGGGGACCACTTGGTTATTCGTGAAATGGAGAAAAACTTGCGGCGGTCACTGGGCCCGCCGACCTGCGATCAGCCCCCGGTCATCGCGGTCACGCGTTGAGTAGTAGCCTACAGGAGAGAAATGTTTCTTTTTCTGCTACAATCGGCATCCAAAGTAAGTCTAAATGGGCTTTTATTTTTTATTCGGTCTGCAGTCGCTTCTCATTGAGCTGCGGACAGCAAATAGAGCGCTACGCCTCTTCCGTTTTGAGTTTGCAGCCTGAGCCGCTGATCAGCCTGCGAGGTGAGGGCAAGATCTTACCCTACCTACTTCCACGCGTGAAGAATCAATTGTATTTTTCGAAACACTTCTGCAATCAGTCGCAAACCTTACCATTGCTGGCTGTCCATCACAACACGAGTACACTGCACGCGAGCCACCGGCGAGCTCTTCGCCTGCCCGGCTGGGACTGTATCGGAGTCTGTAACCATGGGCGAAGATAAAAGAAGACTATCATTGTAATCCGCAACTTTCGTGAAACGATGTCTAAAAGCCTTGGCTCACCATGCAGTCCGGGGATTGCGGGCGACCCTCCGCCACTACTCTCCCCAACGACCAAGGATGCTCAAGAGGTCACAGCACCTGCTGATCTTGGCTTGGGCGTAAACGCAGTGGAAGAGCAAGTCAGCGCATTGTTGAATACGTGCAAGTAGTAGATCAAATCCGTAAAGGCCTCTACATAACTCCCCTTTTGCACTCGGAGTTCTGTCTTCTCCCGCCATCTCGTTTTCTTGTCTCCTTCTTTGTTTCTCTGCAGCTCGAACAGCTCACACAGCTAGTTCAGAAGCTCACAGCGCGAATCGCTAGTGAAGAGGACTCTAGGGAGCTTCTGAGGGCTCAGCTTGACGAGGCATATGCGGCAAGCCCGGCAGAAACAAAAGTTTTCACTTTGCTGACTCTTCAGAGTTTTGGTGCCGCGTGAAAGCAGTTACATACTTATGCGTGCGCTGTTGTATATGTTCTACACATTGTGTATATGTACGCATATAAATGCACATTTGTGTGCATATATGCATGTATGGGTCTAGTGCTGCATACTGTCTTTCGACGCTATTTGCAGCAACTGGCAGACGCCCGCACTGAGCAGCCCGTCCCTCCCTTCGCGGGAGGCCGCCCTATGCAGCCTGAAATTACGTAAGACCGGTGAAGCGCCGCCCGTTGCATAACGCGTAGCGTGCCAACAAGGCAAATGCTTGTTGCTTGTGCTTGTTATATCATGCGGTTCACTGTATTGTATGTCTGGCATTTTAGGTGGCTCGAAACAAACCAACAACAGCTAACTCAGGTAGGGAAGCACCTTTATTGCTCCGCTGAATAAAATGTATACGGAATATGTTGTTACATGCGTGCTCTGTCTATTTACCACTGCCCAAAAGAGTTGTGCCCTGTGCAGGCTACGAGAACAGCTGAAGAGCTCCAGTACTTATTGGAGGAAGAGCGCTCTAGGAATGTGGAAATGCGCATGCAGTACGAGCGGCAGCTAAAATTGATCCGCAATGGAATTCAGAAAGAAAAACGCGACCTCAAGCAAACCCTTGTTCAACAGGTGGACTTCATTATTCGGAAATATAGAAACCTTGCAACGGAGGCTGTGGAAACAGCTCGCCAGGAGCGTCAAAAGGTGCATAATGAGCGTATCAAGGCTCGAGAACTGGCCGAAAATGCTTGCCGTAATTTTGAAAAGGATTTAAAAGAAAGAACGAGGGTGCGTGAGTGTCTGCACCTGCCCTTCTTACAAGTGCCAGAAAATGTAGTGGTTGTACTTGCCTTCCGCAGTTGCTCTTCTGAGGTGTTGCTGTATTAATCATTGCTATTTACTACCAGAAAGCTCTAGAAGAATACCGTCAACTGGCACAAGAAGCTCATAAAGCAGCCCAAGCTGAACGTGAGGAACTCCGCACGAAATGGTGAGGCGCTAGTTCCCGTCTACGGCTTCAGATGAAAAGACAGAACAATGCAGTACGGCACTCGTATCTTCATTATAATGATAAAAATACTAACCATCATTATCTTTTGTGTGCGCAGTGCAAACCTCGAAAAAGCAATGATCACCAAACGCCAGCAATTTGACGCCCTCGTAATCCGCGTGAGTTAGTGCATGATGAGTATTCTATAATGTAGTGCCTTAATTGAGTTCCACCTATTTTCATGCGCATAGCTTTCTGTGTGCGCAATCTCTGGTTTGTGGGATCTACAGGAGGCAGAAAAGAGAATTCAGTGCTACAGGCTGAGCCACCAGAGTATGAAGGAGCAACTCGAACGGGAGCGGAAGCAATTTGGGCAGATGATGAGTGAAGTGGCGCAGCGGGCAAGGCACTTCTTTTTCTAAAACGCACGGCTCCCATATAGATAAAGCAAAATCTAGTGGCGTTGGCAGCACATGCACAACAAAGGATACGTTCACCGCATTTGTGGGAGGCAGTAACATAGGAGTAGCCTGAGGTTGCAACGAAAATGACTGAAAGATTTGCAGCAGGCCCTAGAGCTCAACTCATGTTCTCGCCACGCGGCGGTGTGCCGCTTATGTATGCAGGTTGAGAAGGAGTGCAGCGAGTACGATACTGCGATGTTGAAGGCAGTGGCGGTGTTCTGTAAAACAAAGGGTGTAGAGGTCGATGAGTCGACATTGCGACAACAGCTCGGGGACATTCGTATTCAACGCTTGAAGGAAGCCGGAAGAGATTCCCAAGTACGTCACAAATTGTTAATTGTCTATGGAGAGTGTACAAATACAACTGCACTCTAATATCGGGCTTGTGTGCACATTCGATGGAAGTTCCTTTCCAAAATGCATGCTGCATCACTGAACTAAACTTGTGTTTGCAGCAAATAAATTCTCGCCCTCTAACCGTCAAATACGGCTTCCAAGCAATCACACCCCGAAACTCCAGCTGATGCTCACTGCGACTGCACTGCCGAACGTACGGCTGAGCAGCAGCACGACACCAGAAAGGGCAAAGGTTTTCAAGACAATCATTGTAAACCTCAAGAAGTTGCCTTGCGAATTTTTTCTGTTTTTTCTTTATGAACGCCAAAGTTGCAACGCACACAGCAACTCCTCGCAGCATCCCACAGAATACACCACATGATTTTCGGGTTATTTATTAAGCAGCTTCGTGCGGATGTCACTTGGAAATACTCAAGTCTGCATATTTCCATATATACATCTATATATACATCTGCATTATATGTACATTATCCTTAGGAGCTATATAACAATAGATGCATACATATATATGCATATATATACATGCATAATATTTTGAGCTCCATAGGCATATATATGCATATATATTGCCCGAGAAGACAATGTTGTAGGTATCCAACTAGAGCTTGGCGAAGCAGCAGTCAATACAGGAAGTAGAAATTGCTAGTGGCCCGTGATTTGCATTCTACAGAAGTACATAGGCCCAAATTTTGATGCATCAGGAAGCACTGCGTAGCCGTACGTCGTTTTCTCAACAGAAAACAAGGTAGAGCCGTCGTTCTTTCCTGGCCCCCTGCACAAACCGGATTCTATCTTATCTAAAACTTCGACTCCAGCAGGCCACTCTCCATCAAACAGAGGCAATATGCGTACATTCCCTTTTGCCTTCTTCAGAAACTTTTCTATTACCTGCACCGCATGTCACCAAAGCACGCCAAGAGACAGAAATATTTCCAGGCATCGAAAGCCTCACCTGTCTCAATTCCAGTAATGCATGCGGCAATCGAAGTTTGAAATGGCATGTATATATATATATATATATTGATTACAGCAAAGACGCATTGATTCTGCGGTGTGCCTACAGCATCGTTTTCTAGCTCCGATAATGCGCAAGTGCTGTACAGAAGAATGCCGTCTTTCTTCAGAAGCTTTGAGGCAATATGAAGCATCTTCAGCTGCCGCTCTGCATGAGTTTTCGGAGTGCCTGTGCAGCCGCCGCAACCAGATAAAGCCGGCCTGAAGTGGAGTAATCAAACAGGAAGTTCTTGAAAGTAGAAAAAGCCAACTGATGAAGGGTTCGGAGGCAATCATCGTTCACAACAGCAACCCCAGTGTGAGGCTTACTCAGTGACCAATTTCCCAGAGCAGGCCCTCCTTTATGCAGAAGGTGCCTGTCAGACGAACAAGGGGCGTCTAATAGAATCCGATCATATGGAGCAAAACGCTCTGAATACAAAAGCCCATCATGAATATCAGCAGTCATGGCTCAGCTCCTACCCACAACCAACGTTGTACACAGCACAGTGAGTCGTGATACGTAGAAGCTGCTGCTGCTTGCTGCACTCGCGTAGTAGCCTTGCGAAGGTTTAACCTGCTGCATCAAGCGGTGCAGCGGTAATGCTGGACCCACCAAATGCGCCACCCTTGCAGATGTCTGCACAACTGAACTGAAGCCGCTGCCTGTACGCATTACCGCATCAAATCATCACTGCACTTGCAAACATCAATCAGAAGTATGCATGCATGTATGTATGCAAGGAAATCCGCTGTCAAACGTTCACTTGAACTCACCCTGCCGTGGCGTATGGGGGCAGGAACTTGTTAAGGGTATTCTTAAGTCTGAACAAAAGCGAAACACCGAATCATCACCGCTGCCCATGTATGCTCAACTGCAACAATTTTCTCTCGAAAACACCTCGCTTTTAGCTATGCAGTCTATATAGGTAGAAAACCGTCGGTCAGAACAGGATTTCGCTTACCGAGCCAGTCTGTCGCGGCTGATGTCGTTACACACCAACAGCCCCTCAGCTTCTTCATCGCTATCGACACTGTCGGCCTCACTTAGCATACTATGGCCCCCAATAATGTACGGTGGGACCTTCGCTTGTGTTAGCATTGACAAAATAATTAAGGATTTACCGCCGGGTGCCTATCAAGGGCCACAATTCATATGCACGCAACGGTGGCACCTCCAGGAAGCCCCTTTTCATGCCTTTCTTGCCTGTCATTCTACGTAACAGCACAAGCCCTTCATTTGGATTTCTGACGGAAAAGTGCAGGTATTAAGCTCACCGCACACATGTCAAGCACAACTTCGCCGGGACGTGCACCGAGGACAAAGGCAGCCAGAGCAGATGCTCCATCTGCGGAGGCACCCATAGCCCACCACAAACAGAAAAATTGAAATGCTGAATATGAAGGTGCAAGATCGTGCGTCTTTGTCCATATTGTTTAGACTGAGCTCCCGGCGCAGGCTAGGAATTACCCAAAAAGTATGTTTTGGCCCTTGCTTCTTCTGCAACGTGTTCATCTTCAACAATCAGGATGGTGTCATTCATGCTCTGAGCAATCGGCAGCTCAATTCTGGAGTCAGTGTTTACCGACGCAGTATTTTGACCACCTGCGTCTTTCGCAGCGCTCGTTGGTGCTGTGAGTTCCTCATAGGTGAAGCAATTCGGGATGAAGCACGGCACAAACCGAGGCCTCCTCAGTAGGTAACGAAGCGCGCTGTGGGATATATGCGGTGCTACAAAAGCCAACTGAGTGGGAAGTTCTGCAAGAGCATTTAGCAATAGTTTCCAGCGGGCTGCGCCGTACTGCTTGCTGTATGTAGCACTCCAGCACGCACCACCCCGAATGCTCATGCTGTCAATTATACCAGTAGTATGACTAATCAAATAGAAAAAATGGGCAAACAGTCCTATGCTACTATCATATGCACACGGGGGCGCCGCTGCAGGAGTCCTTCAAATCGATCTAGGCAATCAAGGCAAGTGAAGAGCTCCAACCGAATAACGAATCTGTAGGGGAGACTGGGGACAAATCTGCACTTTAAGAGGGAAAAACACAATTTCGAAGTATAAACTTTAGGAGGTTCCGAGGCGTTACAGCTCATTGCATGCCTACGGGCAAGAGCATGCAAGACGGCAGGGCCCATTGCATTCGCTCGGAGACAATTGCAGACAAAAGGGTATCGTTGCGCTTTCAGCGCGAATCAAACCCTACAGTAAGTATAAATATAAAGTTACTCAGTTATACTTTACATATTCATGTACGTAGTCAATATGTGATGCTATACTTAATTATATACATAGCACGTAAGTGATTCTTACACATATTGTTTTCTTGCACTGCTGATCTACATTTGCTGCGAGATACATGTTTAATCCATGGCAAAACATCGCCTTTCTATGCTCAATGGGTTACCATGCCCGAACGCGAATGTTGATCTTCCGCCCTCACGTTGAGTTCGAAGGGCTCGTGCCTGGTCAATTCCATGCAAGCCAGTTCTCTTATGATGTGGAATGGAACCGTTCAAAGTACCGTTTATACACATTCAGATCTAATGCGCAAATGCAGTCACACCGTCACTCATTGAGTCCTTATGTAGTAGACATCTCGAAAATACGAATAAAGGTATTGTGATGAACAGCTGAATGGATGAACACAGTGATACAGCCCCAGGAAGGTTGTAAGCGACAGCCATTGGTGTCACCTGGCCGCACGGTGCTGTCATAACAGTACATTGAGCTCGAGCAACGCTCACCTCCCAGTCATTCGTCACATCCGAGCACATTGAGCTCGAGCGACGCTCACCTCCCAGTCACTCGTCACATCTGAGAGTTAGCAGAAGAGACTCCGTGCGTTCGTTGGACGTTTGAAGGCTAAAGCAACTGCTAAGCAGCCCACATCGATCCGCCACGAGCTTGAGAACAAGGCTGCAGGGCACTTGCTAAATTTTGTACTAGCCCTTGCGCCCCTTGGGCAGTGAGCTCTTAAAAGTCGCAGGCTCTACTCTTCAGAAAAATATCTTTTATGGGGTGAAACTGAGTAATTCAACCGTTGAGAGCTATTTTGCCACCTTGCCCAGGTGAAGGTCGGTCTGCGTTACAGGCAGGGAAAGAATCTTGGAAACGTGCCTGACACCCCCATGGATAACTGAGCAATCCGCAAGAAGTGGAGAGGAGCTCGGTGCAAAAATGTAGTACGAGTTGATCGCGAAAGGTGCATAACCCAGCAAGGATTACCCAGGCAGTGGCGTGTCCCATACGGAATAGCTCTAGTCTCTTCTGCAGGTTTCTTACTCTCCTTCGAGCACACGCGCATAGTGTTCTGTAGCAGAACCTTAAATGCTGCGCAGTTCCTTGCCCTAACACTTAAGTTCCGGAGCACGACACGTTTCCCGCTGCAGACGGGAAAAAGGACAAAATCCATTTCGCGTCATCAGACCCATGTTGGCACACTGGCACTACAAAGTGGCGCAGCAAGCAATTCAGTCTGCTGCTACACCATCAGCTCGGACCCAACGGCAACGTCAACGCGCCCACCAAATATGGATTCCCTCCCGCAGTGCCCACACCCTTCAATCAAGCATACAGAAAGAAAGCCATGCGTTTCATACCTTAAAGCTAACGGCGCCAAGTCCCTACTTCTGCTTCCTGAGCCGCCACCCTCCAAAAAGCGCTATCCCCTCGACGGTATCCCTCAAGCTGCAGGCTTGCAAAAGCCTCCTAAGAACGTGCAAAGTAGAGTATAGCCCTCCCGAGACGATGCAGCTTGCGGGTGGCATAATAATGCAGCTTTGTCAACGCTGTTGTTGCCGTAGCAACCTCACGACACCCAGCTCTTACTTGGCAACTTTATTCACCCTTCACGTTCTGTTTGCCGTCTGACACGTATATGGACATGGCTTGCATGCAACTGTTCTTTTCGCCTCGTTTAAGGGCTAGATGCTAGCCTCCTAGCCCTGCATTTCGGTAATAATTCACGAGTGTGCCATTCACGAGTGTGCCGTGCAGAAGGGCATAATAATAGGGCATGCGGCAGCACGCAGAGAACACCTGGAACTTCTCTGCGCTTCTCTACAGTACACTGGAAAAGGTGAAACAGTCATAGCCAAACAAACTGTCTTCCAGTTGTTCAACTCTTGCTAAAGACACATAATGGCCAAAAACGGTGACGGGTGCAAAACAAGATTCAGCACCCCGCCTCCTGTATTCCTACGGAGGACTAAACTGCGGAAGATAAGGCATGAGATGGGCTAGCATGAGCTTGTCCACCATCAGCGACCTCTGGTAGTTTGCTTCCTCTACTGCCTCTGTGTGACAGGCCGCCCCTGATGTTTCCTCTTTGACTGGAAACCGCTCATTGCCAAAGTCCTCATCGTCAGTCAACACAACATTGTTATCGACAGGGATTTTGCGCTTCTTATGCATCGCCACAGAAGATGCATTGCCTTGTACGGCGCTTCCGTGGGGCAACATGTGTTCCAAATGCGCCAAACTGCCCGCCGCCCGATTTCCCCCTCGCGAAGCCGATTCAACGCGCGCGCAGTACTCTGCGTCCAAGCCGCTCAGTGCCAAAGTGTCCTCATCTGCCTGGACTGTATATACAACGCACGAGTCATCTCCCTCTTTTGCTTTTGCATTAGAGCAGCTCTCTCCTCGCTTCAGATCGTTCACACCCGCAGTTGCGGAACACGAGATGTGCAAGCGCTCCTGTGCTTTCGAACTCCTTTGCATTTGACAATTCGCGATAAGCTTGCTGAGTGCCGCAGCAGTTGCTGCGTGGGGGCTGGTGTACAGAGTCACATGGCTTTTGCGTTTGTGATGACACGAGGCGGCGGCTGCGGTTACGGCTGTGGCAGGTGCATCTGGAGTTGCAGCAGCCCAGAGGGCAGCACCCGAGGAGAAAGCAGAAGCCTCGCTTGGTAGGTGTGCTAAACCAGCACTTGTTTTCAGTTTACAGTTCTCTCGACGTACGACTGAAGATGGAGCTGCCGGCAGGCGAAACGTGCACGATGCGTCAAGCATTCGTGCAGTGTCTTCGAGCCGCATCATATCGCCGAAAAGTGCTGATGTCCCTGCACTTATTTCATACAGTGGGACTGCCTCTTCAGTGTCCGACTCCGCATGGGGTTTTCTTTTGTTATCGTTCACTGCGGCAGCTGCAGCTTCGCTTGATGGAGGTGCATGCGCAGCATCTGGGGATGCCGAGACCGAATTCTCTTGCAGTGCATTCGACTGCTGCGGCTGTGTAGGAGCTATCCCTGTAGCGTCAGGATTAAGGGGAGCAGAGCCTGATAGGCACTGCCTCCGGAACTGCTTGAAGAACATAGTTCCAGAAGCCTTAAGGTGCTCTGTGAGGCTGTGGCTGATAAGCGGTGATGGCCTCTGCACCGATCCTGGGCGGCACATGTACAGCGGCGCCTGTTCGTCGTCGTCGTCGCTTTCCAGGCCTGCCTTTTGTTCAATTCGCTGCCTTGCGGGCAAAACTTTACTGGTCTTCCTGATGTACTTGAGGAAGCGCCCCCAAGACCGCAGCGCAGCGTCAGCAGCACGCTGTTGGTGCGCTTGCCTGTGGGCCCCTTGCTCGTGCGTTTCCCTGGCTGTCTTCGACACACGCGGATTAGCTGAAGTATGAGGACGCTGGTCTCTTGCGAGCGAAGCCCTTGGTAAGGTTTCAAAATCGTGCCGGCGTTGAGAGCAACGGGAAGAAGCCCTCGGGGACTCTGCAGAGTCAGACTCCGAACTATCGCTGGTGGTGGCCTCGGCCCAGCGTTTCCCGTTGCAACTGATACACTCGAGTGCCTCAGGCATCATGCATGCAGCGAAAGCTTTCAGTTTGTTTTCCAGGAACCCCACCCCGCTGCTTGATGCAGAATCAGTGCCCGCCTCATGTCCGTTTGTCTCCTTGTTGGAGACCTGGCGCTTTCCCCCTCGTACACCTCTGGCAAGGCAGGAGTTAAGAAATTGATTCTTTTTTTGCAGCATCTGCTCTACCCACTGAGCCTTGAAGGCGCGGATTTCAGCTGCTCTCCGGGAGCTGATGCGGCACTCCGTTATCAACAGGCCGTCTTTGGTATCGTCGTCGTCTGTCTCGTCAATATAAACGGTCACTCCGTCATCACTTCCAGACCCATCAGAAGCACCTGAAAAACATCGAGGCGTTGAGGCCTTTGGAACAGGATCGGAAGTATATTCTAAGGAGAGTGAACTGCGTTCGCGCTGCTGATCCGGGGAACGGCGTCTTGCGCCGCGTCCTGCCAAGCGACAAGCTCGTGCAAGGGATGAGGTGTGACCGATGGCCTCAATCTCGTTGTTTTTCAAGTGGCACGTGCTGAAAGACCTATCCTTGCACCCTCTCGAATTGTTTTCTTGGTATTTGCCGCTAGAAAAATGGGTTTCCGTTGGCGTCTCCTTAAAGGGCAGGGACATGGATGCTTTATCAGAAAGGAAGCTGCGTGGAGACACAGAGTTCCTGTGGGGGTCAGGACTGTTCTCGTCAGCCTCTGTACTTTCGGAAGCCAGCGGCATAGAAGGAAAGTCCTCAGCAATCCCACAAAGAGCTTCTGCCTTGAATAATGCGTCCCCTCCAGGACCCATTGTGTCTCTTACGCCGCAGAGACCGCGCCCTCGTAGCCCCAGGCATACAGAGGCCACAGGGAAATCCCAGTAAAGAAGGCAGGCAAGAATTTACAAGAAGCGGGAACAAATGGTCGCTCTCCTCGCCGATGCTGACGCTACCAACCTGCCCGGTTGGAGCCGCCCACTACCAGGGTGAGCGGCGGCAAAAACGAGAGTTGTAGGATGCCTCACCCCACCCTACGAAATATCATTTTGAAGATTGAGACCTTCGCCTTTTCGGAAATGTCTCGATCTCAAATGCGGCCAAGCTGCATATAAAGACACGGGAAGCAAGAGCTAGAGGCCTCAGGGGCCGCAAGGTCGAGGAAAACACCTCACCCTGACGTCAGAAACCCATAAAGATGAGCAGATAATACCTCAACATTGACACAACATCGTTGAGATAGGCTTAATAGATGGAAGTCAACTTCGGACCGGCAGTGATAAGGGCTGCCTGCCGTTCGCAGGGACGGACCGACAGAGGGTGTGGACGTCTATTCAAGCCCAAGTACTGCAGCATGCAACTTATTAGTCCATACAGTCCCCAAACAATTCTCATGTGTGGCACCAAAACATGCAAAGGGTCCACACTACCACCCGCAGCTACAAAGGGTGGGTCTGGGGGCTGGTGGCAGCAGGGTTCGGCTGCAGATATTCCCTCCTTTCGGATACTCATCGCTTGAGGAAAACCTGTAAGGATAGTAATAATGAAGCATATCTGAGTCACTCAAACGGACCAGTGTCAACCAGCTGGTTTCTCCATTGTAGGAAATCCGTGAACACGATTCTTTCGGCACAGAATCGTCACTGCGTGTATAGGAGGTTCCGTGTGTAGGTGCATGCGTACCAAAATACTAGCATATTGGCTGCTGGGGGACAACTGGGTGCTTGATATTTGACTAACGATGTTCGTGCATGCACCAAGGAGGGGTTTGGCGGTGCTTCTCTGTGGTAGCGTGCAACAAAAGAGTCCTGGATCTTTGCCGGGGACGGTCACGAGCTAGAATATGGAGTCGAACGACCTAAGATGATATTACCCCAAAAGAAGCTTGTTTCACCCTCCAGTCTTTAGGCTTTCGGGCCACAGCTGCCCCAAAGCCTATCTCAACCGCGGAAAGGAGGCGGCCTTGCATGGAATGAAATGAGGGTTTGCTGCCTCTCCTGTTGCAAAGCAACCTTATGCAGTTGGACCAGATCCCCGCCTCCGTGCGTACACTGTCACTGGAGTTAATCGTTCAAAATTTCCTATTCCCTCAGTGGGCTACCTGTGTGCAAATGGAAATATATGTCTCCACTTTAGGCAAACATTGCTACATGCTGTCCCAGGAGAGGCAGGGTTCCTTTCCCCCTTCAACGCAGGAACCTCCTCCCCTCTGAGTGGTACGCTTGGTGGTCGGGGGCAGCTGCTCTTTGGGACGCCTCACCTACCAACCTTCACGGCATCGCTAAAGCAGGGCATGTCAAAGGTCAGTCAATGCATCCCTCTTAATGTGCGCATGCTGGCTACTCAAGGCCAATTAATCGTAAAAATGTTGTTCACCGTGTAAGTCCGTACGTCGTGAGGGGGGGCTAGGCAGTGCCTCCGCGAATCGCTGCTGTTTGATCGCAGTTGCAGCAGCAAGCGCAGCAACCCGCAAGGGGCACGCTTCTGCACCTTTTCAGCACTCACATTATAGAGCCTTCCTTTAGCATACAAAGCAACCGTAACAAGGCAGAGGTTTACCTTCTGCAAGGGACCTATTTTCCCCTTTGCTGTCGTCACTCATTTGCTACGCGACAGCACTCTTCTGCAGCGTGGACAAGTACGCCACCGCTTGGTTTTTTCCATAGCTACGAGGGACTACTTCTAAATCCAGGCAAAAAATGTTGGAAGGACTTCTGGAACATGTATGTACTGACGGCATAGACGACTTGCTGGACTTGGTCGGACTTGTAAACACAATTACACAACCTGAAGGGCAACATTTTCGAAAGAGCTTTTGAGGTTGTGCTTTCGTCACAAGCTGCGTGTGTAGGCAAACCGAGCAGCCCTATTCCGATAATAACGACGTGCCTTTATTATAAGCATGCATACGCAACAACAACTACGCATATGTGTACGCATAGGATGTATCCGCGCAGGCTGGTTGCGGCATGGCCCTGCAGATGTACTTACAGCCGACTGTATGTGATTGTATTTCATAGTATTTCTACACGTCTGCAATAAGCAGTTTGCAGCGGTCCCCAGCCTAACACAGCGAGGCTTCCATAAAACCCGCTACATCAACTGTTGCTACTGCTGCTAATTCTGCTAGTCTTGCTGCTGCAAGAGGACGACCAACTCGTAGTGCTGCTAAGGACACGAACTACTGGGATGCGCTGTCGACTGCTCTTTTTGGCAGAAGACATATCTACATCTACCTGCACCCAGGGCACAGTATGAATAGTGGACAAGTGTAAGCACTGTACGCAAAAGACAGATGTGTATGCAAAAACATTACATACACTCGCGAGGCCTGCAGCCTCGCGGCTGACCGACCCTCACAAAGAAAACTGACGAAACTGCTGCGGCCCCTCCTGTGGCAGCACTTCGCGGCAGCCGCCAGCAGCAAGCACTAAAACAACGCACGTAGGGATGACATAAATAAATAACGGTGTTCTTGCTGCCGCAAGCGATGCTGTTTTGCTCAAAAGTCTTCGTCGGTAAGCAGCACTCTCTCTCCCAAGTCTTTGACGGCCTGGGGCTCTGGGGGCTCGGGGTCATCATTGACGAGGGAGCGCCTTAGAGACTCAGCTCGTGCGGCCAGCTCGGCTGCAGCTGCAATCTGTGCAAGCTTCGCCCGTTCTTGCGGTGTCTCCCCAGGTGATGCTGTTGCTGCTGCTGATGCTGCGGCAGTAAGAGGCTCTCGCGCGTTGGTGCACCCGTCGCTTTCGCTGCTTCCTGAGCGGCTACCCCCTTCGCTGCTACGACTGCTCCTGCGGCCCTGCAGAAGTAGCAAAAACAGCAACAGCTCCAGCAGCTCTGATGTATTCCTAAAGCAATAGACGGAAGACATGCCAGGAGCAGTAACAGCAGCATGCGCAACAGCAGCATCGGCAGAAATGCACCTGCCTCCTCACATGGCTGTTCGTTTCAGGGTCCCTGCAGAAGTTCAAGTGTAGTAACTGTTGCTGCAGCATGGGAGATTCGGTAGGCACGAGGGTTGCCAAACAATCCTGGGCTCGGCAACCTCCCAGAACAGCTGTGGCTGCGAGCCTGGAACAAAGCATGCATAAAGGCAGCATCACATAAATAGATTTTAAAAATGCCCCTTTAATATGCGCTACTAACTCAAACGCCAATGAGACGAGGGGGTTGCTAAAGCGGGAGATGCGGGAACACAAGGCTAGCGCTACGGCAGCGGAAGGAGACAAAATCAAGCAACGAAAGCGACCAAAGATTAGAAGGAAAGGGACAAGAAGAGGGAGAGGCTTTCTACTGGACTCCGCTCAAGCCTCAGCACATGCCTAGATCTACCCCAGCAGCAAACATTTCGGCATTGATATGCAAGTGACCAAGACAGGAGGAGACAGGACACGAGGAAGCTTGCAGCTGTTCCTCACCTATCTGCTTCTTCACATCTGACTGCCACTCCCTCCAGCCTTATTCTTTTGAGTCTATCTTCAATCTCCTGCTCAAGTGGCCGAATGCAAAAGAACCGGGCCTCGAGCAGCAGCTGCTGCAGCAGCCATGGTTTGTTGCTGCAGCAAAGAGCTCCATTTCTAAGAAAGTCGAGAACGAATGAGAAGCTATCCCCGTTCCTGTCTATAAATATCTCCCGTGTCTCACCCTGTCTCCAAGGAGGAGATAGACAACGCGAGAGGTAATGCGGGCCAAAGTTCCTTAGAGTTGAATACGTCGTGGCGAACGCACGACCCCCAACGTTCAGCAGCACTTTGCTGCTCAGAGCTTCAGCAGGCAGTGCATTCTGAACACAGCAACACCGCCGAGTGCTGCTGCTGCTGCTGCAATCGCAGCAACAGCAGCAGCAACGAGCTCGATACCGGCCAGCGTTCACGCCAGCTTTGGAGGTCTTTTTGCTATTGCGGGTGGAACTATGGGAGCTGCTCTGCTGAAGCTCCTCATAAAAATGCTGCTGCTGCTTTTGCTGCTGCTGCTTTTGCCGCTGCTGCTGGTCTGGGGAAGCCTGCTCCGCCGTTAGCTCGTGCCGCTGCCGCAAGAGCGGCTGGGCGAGCTGCTGCTGCAGCAGCGCCTGCTCTTCACCCTGTTGCTGCGGGTCAACTTCGGACCGCATAGTGGGGGTTTGAAGCTGCTGCTGCAGTTGCTACCTCACCTTCTGCAGCTGCTATTTACGCAAAACCAGCGGGGAAGCTGCACGACAATGCCGTTTCCAGTAGCAGCTCGCCACCAAAATGACACTCGAAGAGAGCACCAAAGCAACAAAAGCCTCACTAGATGAGTTCTTGTAACCTTAGGGAGTCCTAAAGAGGCCAAGCAGCATTAGAAGTTGACACTACGCAGAGCCGCCGGCGCCGCCGCTGCTGGGCTGCTGCTGGTGTTTGTAGAAAGGAGGCAGCGAAAGCCTTTTGAAATCCCAAAGGCTGACAGGAAGACCACTTGTATCGGCGAATTCTGCTGCTGCTACAGCCGGTGCTGCACATTTGGTATGGGCCGGCGAGCAGCAGCAGTAGCAACAGCAGCAACGGCTCGCTGATGCTGCAGCGGTCTCGCGAGGACTCGCAGCAGTGAATTTCTGATACCTCTGGGCAGAGAACAAAGAAATTAACAAAATAAAATTAATGTGAACACGAAGCCTTGCTGTCGTTCGCCCTGCATTTAGTTGCTGCTGCTGCAGCTTCACTGCAGTTGTTAACGTTGCGGTCCCAGCCCCGCGAGGCGGCTGCGGATACTACTACTTCTTCTGCCATTAAGAAAAAAGTGAGTTTATAATATATATACAATAGGCATAATGGAACACCTCGTGAACCCAGGAAAGTAGAAGTCTTGGCAACTGCACCAAAGGATGTCTAACTGCATCTAGTTCTCTAGACCGCTGCTGTGGCTGCTGCAGCTGCTGCAGCTGCTGCAGCAGCAACGGCTGCTGCTCTTGCTGCAGCCTTCCTCCGGAAAGCGGCATTTCATTATTGACGGGTACTGTAGATGATTCATTTTTTTGGGTTTGAATGCTTACACGACCGCGTGAGGCACCCTGGGGGGTGTAGCTCCATAACGCCAGGGAAGGTCAGCGCCTTGTTTGGTGCGTGCTCACGTGTCTTCCTCGTCACCTGACTGCAGGGCGATGCATAAAATGCACTAGAGAACTCAAAAGCCACTGACAGTAGGAAGTTCGATGCCTTCGCAGGCTCCTGCAGCTGCTGAAGTCCCTTCAGGCCACCGCAGCAACAGCAACGTCAGCAGCAGTACATCTGCCAGGGTATAGCAGGGTATTGGCTCCTGTTTACTTGAGCGGAATGGCAATTGCCGCCTCGTTAGGCGCTGTTGGCAGCAGCGCTGCTGCCACCGTCCCCAGAGCATAGCGCAGTACCGACAAGAAACCAGCCGAGGCAGCTCCAGAGACCGAAGCAACATGAGAGTGGTCCTCCGCGTAGCCCAAGGGGTGTTTAAGTTTGGCATAGCCAGCAGCCAGCGCACTGCACTCGCGAGCATTTCACAGCCGCATCCGCAGAAGCAAGTGCCGCAGCAGCGACAGAAACAACCGCATCGGCAATGGCAGCAGTTAGGGAGTATGCAGCAGGATGTGCAGCGACGGAGCATATCGGTATTTGCCGGCGCTGTGCTGCCGCCATATCACCCGCAGCACCAAGCTCCAGCGGGTATGTCTATCAGAAGCAGCAGCAGCGGCAGCAACAGGCTCAGCAACACCAGAGGCTGTTCATCCTGCTGCAGCACCCATTTGGGGCTTATTGCAGCTCTGCCGGTTTGCTTATCTCGCCATTTATGCTACACTGCTGCTTTATTTTCCCCAGGGGCAGCCGGGGTGCGTCTGCTCCAGCGGGCGCCAGCAACCTGTGCTGCTGCTACTTTTCTGTTGAACAGCTGCACCAGCAGCTGCTGCAGCGGCAGCAGCCATGACAGCAGAAAGTGGAGTTCTCATTTGCCGGCTTGTTTCACGAACCAGAGGGGCGTCTGTCAGATAAGTCGCCTCTTGATGCAACAGAGGCAGCAGCAGCAGAGGCAGCAGCGAGAGGGGAATTTGTGGTGGGAGGATGCAGACATGGAAAGCCAATCAGATTTATCTGCTGCTACCGCGTCTCATGTTGATGCTTGCATTACGCATATGCAACGGAAGGAGCAACAAGAGCAGGGTCAGCAACAGCACGAACAGGCGAACGCTATGGGGGCTGAAGAGCTGTGGGCTTCATCCCTAATAACAGCGTGTGCGAGCACTGCTGCTGCTGCCGCGTCTTCATCTGCTCATCATGCTTTGGAACAAGGGATATTACCAGCATTCGAGTCATCTGCAACCACAGCAAGAACTGAAACGACGGGAACAACGGCTGGCGAGATGTCTGCTTTGCTGATGACTTCTCCTCTCACTCCAGCAGAACGCCACCAGCTTCTTTACCTTTGGCGCCGTCTGTCCTCTAAGGAGCCCCTTCTAACGTCGCATCAAGGCACATCCGAGGGGCCCTCTCTTGCGGTACTTCTGGAGGTGCGGTGGGGCCTCCCGGTTTCGTTGTTTTCAGCGGCTCACACACAGCGGGCCTTCCTTCGCTGGCTCTACAGTGCACTGCACCACTACCAGCAACAGCAATACTTGCGAGCCCAGCAGCAACAGCAGCAACAGCAACAGCAAGGACTGCAGGAGCAGGGACGCCAACAGCAGCCGCATGAGGCGAGTTGGTTGGACAGGCTGGAGGAGGATGCCTTCCAGGATCTGCTGCGGTCGATTAGAAGTCGCTTTGACCTCCAGGAAGCAGCAGCAGCAAGGACTGCGACGCTCCAGGCACAGCAACAGCCGCATGAGAAGGTGCAGTTGCTTTTGAAACAGTGGAAAAAGGCCGTGCGAGGCCTTGAGGAAGGGGACCTGCTTTGCAACACTTATCGGCTGGTGAGTTTTCGGGCCAACCGGCTCGCTGCCAAACCCAAGACATGCACACCAAACTAAGCAACGTACGCTTGCAGCGGTTGGTGTTGTGCCATTGTATGCAGCTTCTGGAGGTCTGCGCTGCAATGGACGGGCCTCCACGGGCACCTCCAGGGGCCCCTGAAACTCTGACAAAATCCGCAGTCTGCCCTCTGCTCCATCCCGCTGCAGGCCCTTTGCTTGCTCTCTACCGAATATACTTAGCTAGAAGTGGTATCTCTGCTGCTGTCTCGTATAAAAACATCGTGAAGCTTGTGGTGAGTGAGATGAAGGTCTTTTGCGGCTGTTGGTTCTGTGGCGTGTTGCCGCTGTGGGTCTGAAGCGACTGCCTCGGCTCTTTCTGGCTGCTTTGGTGTACATGCGCCACTGCAGGACCTGAGGGCCCCTGAACTTTGGTTTCCTGTGGCGCGGCAACAGCAGCGTCGGGTTTGTCTTTCCTTAGGACCCCCGAACAGTGGAAAGACCCGGGGGGCCCTTGAGGCCCTCCTTGGGGCACCCAGTGGCTGCTACTTGGGTCCGCTCCGGCTCCTGGTCACTGAGGTGTACAATGAGTTGCGGAAGAAAGGCGTGAGGTGCTCTCTTATCACGGGGCCTTCGAAGATCATTGACCCAGTGCGCATAGTGGGGGCTTAGATTGGAGGCGCTGCATATTCTTCTTTGGGGTTGCCAGCCGGAGTCGGACTGTTGCTGCTACCTTGGGACGCAGCTTTGCCGTTTGTGCAGTTTTTACCCTGTGGTTTTTCTGTTTGCTCCTGCCGTTGTTCCAGGAAGCGACACACGTGTGCAGCACAGTAGAGGCTGCGCCTTTAGACAGGGATTTTTCCGTTGGGGTTATCGACGAAGTGCAGCTCTTGGCGGACCCACAGAGAGGGCCCGCTTGGACAAGAGCTTTCCTAGGCCTCAGGGTACTTGCGAATCTGCCCCTGTGGATGCTGCAGCTGGTGCTGCTTGTGCATTTGCTTGTGGTGCTGGCGCTGCCTTCGCTGAAGCTGCTGGTCCTCTGCCCAGCTGCAGCCGCATTTGCCGGGCTACATCTATCTGTTCCTGTTGACGGGGCTGTCGTGGTTACTCTCGTTGCTTCGCTAAAGGCTACCAGTACTTCAGCTCCGGCTGCCAGATGCTTGTTGCTGCATATACTTCTGTTGTTGATCCTGCAGGTAAAGGAGTTGCACGTCTGTGGAGAGGAAGGGGCGGGGACTTTGGTGGAATCTCTGCTGTTGCAGTGCGGAGATATCGTGGGCAACAGGAACAAAAGGGTCTCCCTGGCCAGCGTGAAGGTGAGGCTGAAAAAAAGGGAGTAGGGAGAGGTTGCCGCGGAGGAGCAGTAGACGCAGACAGAGATGTGCGGACAAGCGAGAGACGGCTAGAGACCCACTTGCAGAGAATGCGGACAGCGGGGTAGTAGGCAAAGGGGAGATCTGGGAAGATACTGTAGAGGGAGACAGCCACAAAGCTAGCAATTCCAAACAAGCTCACGGGAACCCGGAGGGCGACAGATTATTTAACAGAGACAGGAAGGAAGGCACACAAAACAGGGTATGTGGCACAGGTCATGTTTTTTCTGGCGCAGGTAGAAGCAGAGGCGCTGCCCGCTGATTGGGTTGCTGCTCTTCAGCCGGGGGACTGTCTCCTTGCCTTCTCTATAAATGCCTGTTGGAAACTCAAGGGGCTTCTCTCTGCCTCGGGTGTGCAGGCAGCTTTGCTGTACGGACAACTGCCACCGGAGGTCAGGTTGGAGCAAACCAAAAGGTTCAATGAAGCCGTGGAATTACATGCATGCCTGCAGCAGCAGCAGCGTGCGCAGAATCAGTGGGGGAACTACGAGCCAGAAGGTGTATCTGAAGCTGAACGACCTCTTGAATCTGCAGAGAGGGCAGTAGCAGCCGCACCAGCTCCAGAAGCACCGAAACCCGCGGGAGGAGGATTAGACGCAGCAGCAGCAACTTCTCTTCCTCCTTATTCCGTGCTTATAGCAACGGACGCCATTGGCCTTGGAGTAAACTTGTCGATTCGACGCATTATATTCACTTCTACTTTGAAATATGATGGAACATCGCTAAGGCGATTGGAGGCCTCGGAGGTGCGGCAGCTGGCCTACAGGGCCGGGCGGTTTGGGGGGCCCTGGGGCGTTCAAGGTGGTTTAGTGAGTGCCCTGCAACAAGACCAGCTGGATACACTTCGACGCCTCCTTAAAGGTGCGATGTTCTCCTCACTTTTTAGGATCCATTGCCTTCAGTGGCTTCCGACTGAAGCCTTGAGCTCAAGGGCTTAGGTTCTAGGGTTTGGGAAGTGAGGCTTCGTTATCGAAGTTCAGAGCCGGGAGGTTGTCGTGAAACCCTTGCGAGATTGGACCTGGGCGGTGCTGTTAAGCGCAAATTGTGCAATCTTTAAAGTCTGCGGTTTGTGCTGTAGGCGCGGGTGATTCGGCACCTCCTCTAAAGACTGCGGCGCTGCTGCCGGAGAGCTGGGCCTTTGAATTGTTTGCTCATTTTGCAGCGGAGAGCCCTCCGGTGTGCACTGCTGCCCTCATGCAGAAGTAAGCGCAAACCTCTAAACCCTCCAGGAGAGCTCAGAAGCTGAGGCTTGCGGCTCGCAGTGTCTTGATTTCTAAAATGTGGTTCCCTATGCTGCCCTTGAGCTGGAAACGACTAACTGGTGTGTGGGGCTGCGAAAGTGTTTTCGTGCCATTCTCTTTCAATGGTTGATGCTTTTCACTGCAGGTTCGTCTCTCTGCTGCACACAAGACTTCCATACTTCATACCAACCGGGGCCCTTCACAGGGCTGTTGCTGTGGCAGCTTTGCTGCGGGATGTTCCGCTGCCGCCTCAGGAGTTATACATATTCTGTATGGCACCTGTCTCGGCTTCACGCCCCAACCGGGTGCATCAGACAGAGCAGCAGCAGGAGAGACGAGATCCGAATGGGGCCGATTCAAAAGATGAGACATTATCGCCTTGGCAAGCAGCAAATGGGGTGGTTACAGACGACGACACTGCAACGACAAGAGGTGACACAAAATCAGGTGCAGCAGGAGCAGCAATTGCTGCTGCTGCAAGCATCAGTCTCCCCATACAGGCGGCCCTGCGCTCCTTCGCTGTTTCCCTGGCTGCAACTCGCGTGGTGCCATTGCCGTCTCCATTCCGTGTCGTTCGGAAGGCAAACAAAGAGCAGCAAAAGCAAGAACAGCTAGATCAGCACCTGGGGCTGTGGCCTGCAGATGAAGGCCCCTGGGGCTGGCATGCTGCCGCAGGTGTTGGGTATTTCGATGGAAGGGTTATTGGGGCCCAGTGCGATGCAGAGGAGACAGAAGCAACCCCAGCGGGGACAATAGAGGCCCTTAGGGCATGGGAGACAATCTACCAGGTATTCGCTGGTGCTGTAGCTGGTGCACATGCTGCTGTTGCCGGAGTTGCAGTAGTCGTTTGACGGCTTAAAAGCTCACCTGAGTGCCTGTGAGACGGAAGGCGGTAGCAGCAGCAGCAAAAGCAGTGAAAGCGTACGCATACGGTGTCTGAGTGGATTTGCAGGTATTAGATTTGTATTTGTGGCTGGCGGAAAAGCTCCCCACTGCGTTCGTCGACGTGCCGCTGGCATCGACTGGGAGGTCCCTTGCAGCTGATGTCATAATGGAGGCTTTACAGAGGGAGCGGCCCCCTCGGAGTTTAAGGGCTCTCGAGCTCGGGCCACATTGCATTCGAATGCTGTAAGATTTGAATGCTGTCGGTGGCCCTTGGCCCCGACGAAGCCATAAGACCCAGCAGTATTCATAAGCAGCGTGCTTCGCACAAAGGTAGAATCCGTTCCCTGGGGGTCACTTTAAACACAGGCAGCCTGTGTTGGGGCCTTCTGCGCTGAGAAACGTGCAATGTTGTGGAATAATACTCTTTGTTGACTGTGTAACGACGCAGAAATAACAAAATTGAAATGTTCAGCTTCGTTTCAGTCTCACTGATGGCAATGGGCTTATGTGATTCAGGACACGCTAGGATGGTTCACGTGCGTGCTTACCATTTATTCACATGAGCGTGCATGCCGAGTGTCTATTCGTACGAATAAAGAAGAGCAGCAGCGTGCACAGTGATGCATACGTCATGTAGGGAACTGCACACGGACACGAGCACGAGTTAAATGCCCATGAAGCCCCACCAGGAACATGCACTGGTGTCAAGGGAGTGCTTCCTTTGGCAGTATAGAGAGCGCAAAGGCCTAGCCGTCCAAATGGAGGGGCAAAGACGGATCCGCGTGGGACTGCATGTAAAATAAGGATCTTTAGCTGAGCAGATTACGTGCCTG